CACTTGACAAAACGATTTCTCCATCTTCAGATCGAGCACTACTGATGTCTTCAACTTGTTGACTTGGGGGAGAAAATCTTGTCTTTTTCCCAAAGAAAGACGTCAGAGCGGTCTGCTGTCGCTTCATAATTCCGTAACTTGTTTGTTCTTCAACACTGTCGTCGGAATAGTTTCAGCATAACTATCATTTTGGAACAACGTGGAACGATCGAACCCTTCAGTCATGGCGAATGCGACTTTCGCCAGACGTGCAAAAACGCCCAAAATATTCCGAGTACCAACTCGTTTTATAAGGCAGAAGATCGGTTTTTTGATAGTCCTTGACTGAAAATCTTGGGGGGGGGGGGGCGATGGCCCCCTGGGCCCCCACCTATGTACGCTACTGGTTGCCTCCGTTGTAGTCGTGGTGGGAACCGTCGAGATCATGAATGATGCGGTATCGAGCTGCGCTTTCTTACACATGATCACGTAGTGTCGTCCGTTGCATTTCGCGCAATTCCTCTTCGGGCCGTCTCGGCAAGTCTTCGCGGAATGGTTCCGTTTCAAACAGATCCAGCATGCCTTCTGTTGAATCACTCTTTCTCTGCGTTCCTGGAGGGTCAGCGTCGCTCTACATCTGAAGCTTTCGTGATCATCCCCGCAAAAGATGCACGATTTATCAACTTTAGAGTGTTGATTACTGTCTCCCGAGGATTGCTTCTGGCCACTCGTGAAGAAGTTGTGCGTTGCCCTGTGTGGCGTATATGCCTGATGTTGGGAATGACGTGGCTTCGATGCTGGTGGTTCCCCCTGATGAAACGTGGGTCTTCTCGAATCGCGCTGGGGAAAACCACCGCCCTCCAATTCTGCTTCCCTGCGAACCTTCACCGTAAGGTTGAGGAATTCTAGCATGGATTCGAGATCTGTTATTAATGGGTCCGACAACTTCCTTTTCGCCAGTTTTCTGATGAATTTCTCTCTCAGGTCTGTCGGCAGGCATCTCAAAATGCGTTGCATTGTGGCTGTCGACAGTTCTGCGTAGGAGTTGTCGAGCGCCAGGAGAGCTTTCACATTCAGGCTCAGAGTCTCCGAGAAAGACTCCAGGCGATGATACTGGATCAATCCTCGTTCCAGGAGTTTGTCGATTTCCCTGATGTGGGAATTTCGCGCGAGCTTGCTGTCGCCGAATCGCTCATGTATTATTTCTTTCGCCAAAGCATAGTGGCTCTCTTCCCATTGAAGGTGAGCAATGGCATCTAGAGCTTTCCCCGATAAGGAATGCCGCAAAAGATTGAACTTTTCCATCGTCGGCGCTGGTGTATCGTCGACGAACACCTTGAACAGCTGCTGCCATTTTCGGAACTCCCGGGTATCTCCGCTGAATCGGGGCACTTCACGGGCCTTCCGACCAAGGGAGAACCTGTCCGACGTGTTGAAGCGTTCCGCCGTTCTGGGCTGTAGCCATGTATTTCCAGGTGAGAAAAGTCCATGATGGAGTCCTGGTCTACTGTGGCTCCTGTGATCGACCGAGCCGGTAACCCGGGCGGCATCTGAGCCTGGCCTCCGCTGCTAGTGAGATTGGTGACTCCTGAGAATCCGATCGGATTCCGTACCGGGTTCTCGGGTGGAAAGTATAGATTTCTGCCTGGCGGGAGTGGTGGAGGACGGTTGTTGGTCCTATGGTTGGCCCCGGAATCTCCAACTTCTCCTTGTCTT